CAGCATTATATTAATCAACGATCCAGCCTAGTAGCTCAAAATACCTCTTCGATGCTGCTTCTTTTGAGAAACTCTCTTCATTCATCATTCTCAAGGTATCCATTACCTAAATTTGATGAATATTTGACAAGAAGACCATCATGGGGGCTTTTCCATGAGTGACTTACCCCACGCACAAACACGTCTGCATTACTGTCCGATCTAGTTTCTCTCACAGTCCTTTCCGCTGTTGGGTTTCTCGGTGCATCCTGCAGCCGTTATATAATTATTGGCAGACAGATATTTTCCCTCGTTGCTTTATTTTTATATGAAAGGTGAAGGACAAGGTCTTCTCGAGATTAACAAATCCTCTTCGGCATGCCCACCTCCTTCTCTTTCTCCCTTCCCACCCCCTCCCACTCCCGACATTCGACTTCCATTCAGTTGGCAGTAGTGCTTGGAGCGCCTATGTAGCTCATACGATGAGTCACGGTGGCCAGCCAAGGCACAAGAAAGTGCTTTGCAAGAAAGTGCTCCTCCCAGACGAGCCGCGTATCAGGTAGACGGCCCAGAAGGTTCGAAAGCTTGGACTGATATTGATGCTGGTGTGGACCCAGAACTTGTGCGGGGTAATACGCGACTTGACACTAAACCACCACCCCCCTATCCAACTCTTACGCATAACCGAGTTCTTAATGTTTTCAAGATTCACTTCATGTTGCCCACTGTTTCTTTCTTTCAATACTCACCAACGAGGTTAAACGAATCTTCTCTTGGCTTTCTCCGAACATCTCTTCTGACAGTCTTTGGAGACTAAGTTCTTGATCGTATTGAATACTTCGCTTTACTGCTGGAGCCGTACCACCCTCGGCCGAAGCTTTAACTCTGCCAGCTGTAGATTAAAAAAAACACATGTATGAATTTTCTCGATTACTGTGACTAGTTTAGAGGGAAACGCAGCAGGAGTTGCATTCTCAATAACATGTAATGTTCAACTGTTACATTGCTCTGCATCGAACAAAATTTTTCTGAACCAGTTTTGTAATGTGCTCGACCTTTAGACCTTTAGTCAGCTCGTTTCCCTCAGAAATTTGAATGCATTCTGAAGTTTTGAAATGCTGCACACTAGCTTAAAGGCACAGTTCACGATGAAAATTGTTTCTGAGATTTCCCCACAGGATGGATTTGAGGTCTCTACGCACACCATATTTGGCACTATTAGGTCGGAAAACGACCTAGTTAGGGAGATATAGAGGCTCAAAGATTGACCCGTGTGTACCCTCGGACGAGTTTCACCGGCATTTTAGAGGCTGCACCAATCACAAGGTAACCCATGTAGGAAGTTCAAACAACTTGTCATGAACCAATGCGACAGTAAAAGGCAGCTCTGTACAGTTCTGACTTGATGTAGTTAGCTCTTTGGGCAATTGCAATAACTGAAATCTCGTCCGAATACCCCTTCCATGTTATATCCGATGGCAATCTCGTCCAACCTCTATTTCCACTACTTGAGGAGCCATATTTCTCTTGAAATCGGCGAGTTCTCTCGCTTTCTTCGCTACCTATGAGCTGTTCCCAATCTATACTTCCGCTTTTCGAATAAAAACGGGTTCGAAATTATCGAGGACTGTGCCTTTAGGCTCGCTATCAGAGATCTACATTTTGCGATCGGGCTAGAGCTCGCCAAAATGAATCGCCGATGTTCCGAACACGATAGTTTAGCTACTTTCAAAACACAATTAGCAGTAGACAATTCACAGTGGACGGGGGAAATAAACGGAAACGAATCGGTGCAGTGTGCAAACAGTTGCCCCAAGGTTTGAAGGCAGAGTGTTGTAATTTGGTCACTGCAGCACTGACTTCGGAGGACTACACAACATTTTGGCAATATGCTTTGAAACCGCTTTCTTTCTCTTCCCGTGCACTAGGTTAGTGACAGGATATGTTACTGAAGGGAGAGACTCCTGAGGGGCCATGGAATGCAAAAGCTGCCAAGTCTTTTAATCCTCCGGAACTTTGACTTTTTGGTGAATTATGAGGGGCATGATAGATAGCGTTAGGTGGCTGACATCGGCTTGACCATTTATATTTATGAAGAGAAAAAGGTCACAGACAATCAGATCCGGTAGTGCAAATTCTGTAGCCACTTAGCACCTGCCAGAAAATTTGCGTTCAGATGTATATCTTCTGTTCTGAGAAGATGAATGACATGTTTTCTATCTTTCCGACCCCGCCAGAGGAAGGAGTGGAACCCAGCGTAAGCTGACGGGCTAGCCCTATAGAAGCTTTCCCAGTGGCATAAGTAGAAAGGGATTAGTAATTACTATGAAAGAACGGTCTTTGCCTTTAATGCTTGCGCCACGAGCTTGTAAGCCTTTCTTGGACCTCCTACCCACTCTGCCCAAGACAAATGGTCTGAGCTGCGAATGGCTAGAAGTGGATCTCAGTGCTCAGCTGAAAACCGACCTTCCCTAAACAACTGAGATCGCCACCACCATCCGAAAAGGTGTCAAAAGGAGTAACTAAGGGTAAAATCAGGCTCACTGATGCGTTCCAAAGATGGATACTTTTTCAAGAGCATTTCCTGACTAGGCGACGGCAACCCATCAAAGTATTCTCTGATTCTGTAAATGGGAATATGAGAAAGGTGAAATATGACAGGAATGCAGACTTGAAATACCTCCTGACTGCCACATCTCGAGTGATCTCTCCCCTCTTCACTTTGTTAATGGAATCGAACGTCTTAAGTTCAATGAATGTTCGGTGCAGCACATAAGAAAATGTTATTGGCTTACCACATACACGAAATCAGTGGCAAAGTCGTCCGAGCTGGTTTCAGTAAGGGTCATTTGTGCGACCGGGTTTTCTGATTCATCCTGTAGTCTCCATTTGTAATAGATGGGTGGGGCTCTCGCTTACTTATCTAACTCTTTATGTCATAAATCTAATTTTTTGTCAAGTTCTACATACTTATGTATTTGAAGGGATCTTCTGAAAATTGAGTCGAACTAGCGACACTGACCAGAAATTCACACTTGAGCTTTTCCACTTCTTCTCCGAACATTTCTTCTGATATACGATCAAGTACGACTTTAAAGCTGTCATCAGCGCTTACTGCGGTGGATTCTGAAAGTAAAAGACGACAGGGTCTTCTTCCATTACTGTTTTTCTACTGTTTCCCGATTGAGGCAGTTTGTGACGGTACGAATTCCGCTATGTGCGACTTTCGCTTCAATTCTCTCAATGGGAAGGGCTTTTTGTGTCCGTCTTTTTGAATGGTTCGCTTTCCTCAGTAGGCTGGAAGCAATTGGGAACTGTATGTAGGGAATTCCCAATTGGAAAAAGTTCCTAGCAGTCGAAAAAAAACAGTGGTCCCATGCTCCGTCAATATGCATCAGCAAAGCGTTATAAGCCTATTCCCGAATTCGAAAGGAGGAGCAGTATCTTCAAAAAAGTCCAGTAGCCCTAATAAGTATTCCTTTCCCGTTTTCCCGTTCTGACTCCTCTTCTCCGAAATGGCCTGCAGCCTGGGTTCGGGTTTGACTTCCCTTGAACCTGTTCCAGTTGTGATTTCTATAAGCGGGTTTTGGTTGAGCTGAACATCACCTATCTTAGAAGGGTTCAAAGTAGACCAAATTGCGAAAACTTCAGGCATGGTTGCATTCCGCCACGGAACAAGATGTTCAGAAAGTTATCGGAGCCAACAAGATGAGGATGTTGCAAAAGACCAATGAAAATAATTGGGCTTACGAGACAGTCTCAGAGACGGGAACAGATCCATGAGCATAGCCTTACTGTGACCCGGTAAGCGACGCAGGGTCCGGTCAATTCTGCAACAGGTAAGGTGAGAAGGGTTGAAGATGCACGAACAGTAAAACGAACCCTCTCAATGCTTCTTCCCGAGAGATTTTCCCCTGATTAACATCCGACAAGAAATCCAATACCTAAAATCCGATGCTTTCCAAGTGTTTGGATACTTGGACAGGGCAATTGAGTGTTTTGACATACCGCTAACAGGAAATCATGGGCATCATCATCTGGGCTGACTTCTTTTTCGGTTCTCTCCGCTACGGGGTTTTCCGGTCTGTCCTGCAATTTCCAATAATCAAAGGGGTTTGGTGCTCCTCTACTCATTCTTTTCGTCTGTAGCAGTAGGAAAGCTTAACACTGCCTGCTGAGAAAAAATTTTGATTGACTTCTGAAATGGTCGAATAAAGAAGGGATTCCTGCGATTGTCTGCGACTTTAGCAGCCAGTATTCTCACTAGCTCTCCGCCGCGTAAACCACAAATCTGCTTCAATAAGAGCTTTCCGCTGGAATAGTTATCGGCCTTCTGGCAACGGTGCTAGGGGGACCAACTCCAAGAGGCAGATAGGTGCAGATAACGGACCAACAGCTGCCTCCTCATAAGAAATCCTCACATGGGTGCGCCTACATATGTACCAGCGTGATCAAAACTTGTTTTGGAGCGAGGGAAAAGAATGAGAACTGCATGTATCACCTCTTATAATGGTCACTCTTGGCCATTTCGGCAGTGACTAACTGCCCGTGAAGCCCCTATCCTTCATGCTAGAGTGAAGCAAGCTACTGGTGGGTTGTCGTCTGCTGTAGTTAGCATTACAGCTGGGCATCTGCCTCGTAATCCGGATGAAGCCTCCAAACGCTATGTTCATACAGCGGTAGAAGCGATGGTGGACAGTTATCACAACACTATTCGCTATGAGCCCTTCAGAATGAAGCTTTGACATCCCGAACCAGTCTTTTGGGTTGCGTATATCTGGCCAATCCCAGCTTTGATAGGTCTCGTCACCTACATGATATCAAGCTGTCCTTGAGAGGACGAGCTGGAAAGTTTTGAGTTTATATCATAGAACTATTGAGTTTATGTCATGGAACTATAAAATTCTCAATAGAAGATTTACTTTTTTGAAGGTCGCTCGCGAGTACTCCATTATCAAGGTTGTTTCCAAGAAAGACTAGGGCTTTATATGGAAATCCACAGAATGGGTTGAAGAAAACAGAGTGGCTGCTTTCGTAGTCCACGATTTGGCCCGCGACCGGTCGCGGACCAAATCGTGGACTATGAAGCAGCCAATGAGAAACTATATATCGGGACCACGATGTCGACCAAGGCCATCTATAGTATTTCGTAGTTCTAGAAATTTTCCGATGCGTCGTCCTGCAGTACCACAGAAACGGGACATTGGGCCCATCGATGGTTGGAGGTAAAACTTCACTTAGGGAGAGTTCACCTTCCTTTTTAGGTAGAGTGATTTCACCTCCCCTTTCAAGAAAGATTGGATTTGTAAGGACGATGAACACCGGCGTCTAGTATTGAACCCAAAGGTACTGAACCGGCAATACTGAAAAGCAGTAAGACTACAATCCAAACAAATGTTTCATACTGTGTAGTTTAGAGATGATTCCCCAGCGTGGAGTTGTAGGTAAACGAAACGCCGAGCTTGAGAAACTAGAGGCAATTGAGCGAGACTTGGACAACCAAAGAGGTGCATATTTGGATGGCACTCCCTGCCTAACGAGAGTAGCTCCCCTACCGGTTTCACAATATAACTTTTCCACAATATGGCTGCTTTGATAGTCCGCCGGTCGGGGAACTACGCGGCCTGCGGTATCGACCAAGATTGAGTTTATAAACAAGTGGCAAGCTCCGCCCCCGAAAGGCGCGCGCGCTCGCGAGCCGGCCGGCTGACTATGAAAGCGGCCTAAGGGGGTGACCCTGACGTTTTGTGGGGTGTTCTCGACTCGACACATGTGATGTGACGTGGTCACGTTATACCAGACGAGGTGGGGAAAATGGTTTACTTCCCCGGTTTTCTTAGCAGAATATCCTCCTGCTTGCCTTTCATCATTTTCAATGCTCATTTGAATGTCGCTCTTTTGATCATGTTTTCTGATGCACAACCTGCTAATTATCACGCCAGGGATGATTCGTACGACCTCACTCCAAACAAAGTAAAAGGCAAAATCACGACACGGCACAACCAACCAGGCGAATGGAATGCAAGCAAACATTTTGGTGTGGGAATCATTCAGTACGCTGCAGATGTAAAAGAACTATCATCCGACATGCCGGTGGGGTCGTGCTCTGGTAATGCTGTGACTAGATGAGGCTTCTGAACTCTGATGGAACTATAAAAGGACATGAACGTTCAATTTTGTGGGCAGATTCATAGAGGATTTTTATGGTAGGCTGCAGCTAATGGGAATGATAGATTTGCATGAAGAGGATGTTCAGATATACATATGCTTGTATGAAAAAGCAGGTCGTCGCAAGGCCATTGGAAGGGTGAAAAGGGGGTGTGGTGCAGTAGGAACGAAACGGTCGCGTCACGGCGAGAGAGATGCCGCGCGCGAAGGTATGTAGCAGAATGCAGCAGCAAGTAAAGAACACAGGAATAAAGAACTTTCAGTAGAATCATGCCTAAAGTAATAATCGCTTATCGATTGAGCTGTATAAAGAATACTAAAACTGTTATAACGAGGCAAATTGTCCGCGACAGCCGCGTGCGACGGATCGATCACACAAAACCGTTCCTATTGCCCGTTTCCCGGTAAAAAAGGACATTCTGAAAAATGTGGAATTTTCGCTACAAAGCCATACTCGTAGTGGATATAGTTTCCATGGCCATCAGGTCTTACGTAGTTCACGCTCTAGGTTAATTGCGACTGGCAGCACCGACCAGCACAGAATCTGTAAGCTTGTCTGTTTTTACTCCAAATATTTCTTCTGACATATGTTCGAGTAACGCTTCAAGGTTCTGCTCAGGGTTTCCATCTGAAAAAAANAAAAAAAGTTAGTAAGAATAAAAAGAAACACATGAGCATGTTTGGGTTGAGCTTCTCCAGTTTTACTTCAAGCATTTCTTCTGACAATGAGATAAGATAATTATCATTGTCGAAGTTCTCATTACCTCTAACAGCATCAGCGCTACCTCCACCAGCTTGAGGTCCCAAAACGTCGTGATCAGGCCCAGTACCTAAACGGATGTCCGGTTTAAGCTTTGGCGAATGAGCCCACAAATGGCGTAACCCGGTAGAGAGGTTCCTACCAGCATTTGGGGCTGAGTCATTCGCAGCCTTGGGTGGTGACGACGGTTTAGCAGCAAGCATAATTGGACATACGGTGGAAAAGAATGATTTATATACCGCTCAGTCTCACCAGTTCCATCTATCAAACAAAATAGCCCATTCGGTATAGTCATTTGTAGCTGATGATGAGGTTGCATCGGTGAAGGCAGAGCCTCCTAGTAAACATTGGTATAAACTCCTTATCCCCTAGTAATCGTGATTTGAGTGTACCGTAGTTTGGGGAAGTGATGTGACCAAGAGGATCCTGCTTATTGTGCTTCTAGTCATGCTCGTTCCCCAACCCCTTCACTTTTACTCACTGCCAAGCCTTTTCCGAAGGCTTCTCTACCTCCAGGGCTTTCGGCATAGGAAGCTTTACCGCAAAGCGAAGAATAAGCATCAAGTATAATCAAAAGTATAATCCAATTACTATTTGTTTTACTATTTGGCCTTCACAGGCTTTCCAGATGATTTTAAATATCGGTTCTGATGTGAGATGTTTCAGTTACCTTTTCTGTAAGTTCTTGATTTGTATTCAACACTATACCCAAGCCACCATTTTGGCTTTGAGAGAATTTCGATGTAGGCTATTCGTCTTGGGCTTCATTGTGACTGAGAAGATGAGGAGAAGTTCGATGTCCTCAATACGCATTTAACTCTTTTGAAATTGAAGGATGGCGGTGTTGCACTCATTCTGAAACTAATACAAATAAAAATACTTCCAATTTCACGGAGAGCTCCAACGAGGCACTCAAAAATGTGGGTTTGATCTCTGATTGTCTTCATAATTCAGTGTCGCTGAAGAATCAGCATTCAAGTGCTCGTCCCAAATGAAGGTTTGCCCGTTCTAATCCACAGGTATGTACTGCGTTTCATTGGTTTCTTTTGTGGCTGAATGTCTTAGAGAAAATGAGGGGTAGTATACTCTTTTTTGTAGATTGTAGTTTTTGTAGTTATGTGGACCTTTTTATTTGTCGGCGAGGAAACATGGTTCACTTGAAGCCTGCACTCACTTCCCTTGACAAATGACATTGTCCTTCACGAAGATTTATTTTGTGGCATTGATGAGCGGATTCTCGAGAAAACTTCACTCCAATGACTACATGAAGAAGATTACTGGCTACGACTTCCACGTTTGCTAAATTTACTTCTTTGGGTGAAACTGCAGACCCATGGCATCATTTTCCGGTCCGACTTGACGCTTTGTTAAATAGACCTTCAACCTAAGATAATATTCCGCTTTCTTTAGAAGCTCCTAAAATCAGTATCAACAAAGAGTGCTCTAGTAAAGCCAATAAAGGAAGAGATTAACTCCCTTAATGGGTGCCTATTGTTGAGACCAAAGGCATCCGAGGGAAATCTCTAAGGCGTAAATAATAGGCGTCTAGTCTGCGGTCTATGCAGAATTTGTAGGACCCGCTTGATTAGGAAACTTCTCTTCAGCAATTAGTGATCAAAAATTAATCGCTTGTTTCGGGAAGAGGAACGGAGGATTAGGTATGCATTTCGACTGTGTAGAAGGAAAGAGAAAACCTGAACGATCTGAATGATTTGAGGATTCTGACAAATGAGTACATTTATATTTTCAAACGCTATTGCTAGGGAAACTACTGGGTTACTCGATCTATTTTCGTGAGCATTTGATATATGAGATGAGGCAAATCATGTTTTGAACTACCACAAAGGAAGAGTTCATCCGACGAGTCGCCAGAAAACTCGTAATAATAGCCTAGAGGTTTTCTGAGCTCTGAAATGCTCATAGTTGTGTTGCCTATTTGATTACCTTATTAGCGCATTCATAGTATCCGCGCTTCGACGCACATATTTGTGTCAGAACCGTTTGCAACGAATCGCTACAGGACCGCTT